TCCAGTGGGCAGGAGCCATAACGCGATAATTTTCTACGAGAATCTCGATCATCTTCTACGCAACGCGATCGTCTCCCACGAGAATTATATAAGATTTATCAATCGCGTTTAAGCAATTGCAGATATAAAGGTCTGCGTCCACGATGTTAGAACTTGGCCCAAGTTCTAGTTTCGAGAAATGCGTAGCCAATCAGCTTGCGGCTATTCCATAAAAGCTGCAGGTCGATTGGCTGCGCGTTTCTCGAAACTAGAACTTTGACACAGTTCTTGGATCGTGGACGCAAGGCTTGAAATGCGCAAAATAAGTACACGAGTCGCCGGGTGAAATGACAGCAACAAATTATAACATATCGATCGTTTGCGTAGAAATAATAATCTCTCTAACATTTGTACGTGAAAAGTGCGCGTATAACACAAAGTTTCCAGTTTTGTCGCGTTCGGGAGTGCCGTTTAAGCAATCGAACTGAAGACTTTTCGAAGCCCATGTGAAAACTAAGTGTTCTTTAAATGTACGTTCCTGTCGATGGCCACACCCTCGTGAAAATAAAAATTGGAGCGTAAATCGAACGTAAGGGGAGAGTGAAACAAGCGTAAACGAAATGTGTAGGAAGCGTAATTTCGTTCACGCTTCTGTCACTCTCCCCTTACATTCGATTTACGCTCCAAATTCTATTTTCACCAGGGTACTTCCCAGATTTGACAGTTTTTATATAATACTCGTCGACTCGAAGTGGAGGCGAACTTGACGGGACGGCATACTGTCACGTGGACTTCACAGCGGGAGTGTAAAATCGCGCGAGAGATCGTTTCCGCGAGTGTGTCGGAGAACAGCCTGAGTGGAGGAGGCGGCCTTGGGATAAGCATCAGGCGCCGGCGGAGCAACTTTATGGTAAATGTTATTTTTCATTTTGTGGTAAAATTAATCTTTTTTCCAGTTTATCTTTTAGTGGTTTTATCGCGTAATTCTATAATTTCGATGTAATAATTAGAGAATGAGAAATGATACAAAATTTTATAAACGTTTATTCTCGAAGATCTTTCGCGGAAAAACTTTCGCGCAATAATCATGTAACATCTAACTGATGATTTAGGTGAATTATAGGCAATTGTACAAGAATGATATTCTTAGAAAAACGTAGCTTTATTTGGCTGAGCTATGCACACACAAGCGCGGGAACAGAGGTAAAAGCAATGGGGGGAACATAAAGACAAAATAAAACATAGGGCTAGTTGCCAACTTAAACGTAATGCGAATCTAGGGACTAACAGAACCATTGTGGTGCGTTTACATATCCTAACAATTATAATTATAATATAATCAGTTATAATTAATTATATTATATATTATAATCAGTTATAATATAATCAGTTATAATTAAACAAGTTAAAATCAGTGCTTCCACACCCGGTCTTTTCCCTTATCCTGACAAAATCCATAGGCAAGTACTTTACAATAATTAATCAGATAACGTTAACAAATTGCGCCTAACCGGGCCACGAGTTACGCATTGTCCACGCCAGACGCCACGGCGCGATTTCGCGGTATATTTACCGGGTTTCCAAGTGGTTTTAGGTGGCACAGGTGGTTTCACAAGCACACTCATGGCTGTGTTATTCTATCATCATAACACCAATCCAATGACTCACGTAGGCGGACTGACGTCTGACAGTAGCGCGCGTAAAGATTCTAATTCTTCTTGTATCGTCATATTTATACATAACACCATGCCTGGAAAAGATAAAAGGAAAATGGGATAGTTTTTACATTAATGCCTTAGCTGCCGACATTTTTACAGCTGCGTGACATCGCGCGAAAGTTAAAAATTCGTGTTAAACGATAAATAAAGAAATCGCCGCCGCACCGCTCCGGAGAGCGTTTGTGTAATTGACGCGCGAGATACTCACTGAAAAATACACCCAGAACGTAGGCTATCATAATAAACCAATCCCACCACCTCCCCTTTGAGTTGGTGTGCTCTTCCAACTTGAGGGACTCCTTCTTCAATTCCGCCCGTAATTCCCGAGCGTTCACCACGGGATTCGGCAAAGTGAGAAGCTCCTTCGCGCATTCCAGGTGGCCGGTGCGTGCCGCCCAGTACAGCGGCGTGTTTCCAGCTGCATCCAAACCCGTCCCCGATATACCCTCCTTCAGGTATTCCCTCAGGAAGGAAATGTTGCCCCGTCTCGCAGCGTCGTGCAGCGGCAGATCAATCTCCTGCGTCTGTTCCTCGACTGGGAACAACAGATTGCGAACATAAATAATAGATTACGAGCATTACACTGGAGATAAACAAATTTGTATTCTTCGTTACCATAAGTGACCGGTATGAGTCTCTTTTGATCCCCGCACTTGGCCCTCCACCAATTTGGATCGGTGTCTCTGTCATAAACGTAGAGTAAATCACCCTCGTCGAACGACAACTCATCCGCCTGTAAAAAGCGTCGCATTATAATGTTCGTGCGTCAAAATTATATGAAAAAATTACATATACAGAAACTTATTTCGCCGGCAAGTGTACTTACACGTTGCGCAGTATATTTGCATAACGTCCTGACGACTCTTAACTTACCTTAAAGATAACACATGCGTTAACAACACTTATATCGGATATCTTGTTTGAAAAGTAGAAATTTTTTTCGCATTTAATTACAAGAGCAAAATTATCGCAAAGCATACATTTGATAAGATTACCGCTCTAACCTAGACCGTGCGATAATTACATTCATTAGCCAAACAAACGCGAACTAATGCTCCGTTAATAATTTTTTCACGGCGGAATTGTCATTCTTTAGGTTCTCTTTCCCTCTCAAACGTACAATCGGCACGATAGAATTCTCCTTGAACAGATCGAGACGTCGGACTGAGGTGTGTGGTATAACCTTAAATTCGTATATAGTAGAATTTTATTGAATCCGTAAGAAAAATGACATGAATATAATTGCTATAACATAAATGAGCGATCTGTACGATACATGGTCAGTACATATACACGGAGATTCATAAGTACATATGTATAAAAGTCCTTTATCACAATCACCCAATAGAAACTAGGAGTGCCACAGGAATTATACAATAATTAATCAGATAACGTTAACAAATTGCCTAACCGGACCACGAGTTACGCATTGTCCACGCCCGACGCCACGGCGCGATTTCGTGGTATACTTACCGGGTTTCCAAGTGGTTTTAGGTGGCACAGGTGGTTTCACAAGCACACTCATGGCTGTGTTATTCTATCATCATAACACCAATCCAATGACTCACGTAGGCGGACTGACAGTAGCGCGCAGCTACACACACCGCGGCAGTGTGTGCGGTCGACACGCCCCGACCTAAAGATTATCTAATTCATGTGCCTTCATTAATGCCATGTCTGGAAAATAAGAGGAAAATGGGATAGTTTTTACATTAATGCCTCAGCTGCCGACATTTTTACAGCTGCGTGACATCGCGCGAAAGTTAAAAATTCGTGTTAAACGATAAATAAAGAAATCGCCGCCGCACCGCTCCGGAGAGCGTTTGTGTAATTGACGCGCGGGATACTCACTTAAAAATGCAAGCAGAACGCAGGATGTTATAAACCAAACCCAGCTCCACTCTGAGTCGGTGTGCTCTTTCAACTCCTTCTTCAATTCCGCCCGTAATTTCCGATTGTACTTGGCTCGGAACTTGGCGACCGTGTGGTGTATCCGCGTCGTGATCTTTGTACTGGAATTATTGGTAAACAGCGGGTTCATCAACAACCATTCCGTGGCGACCCTCCTCTCCTCCAGGTTCGACAGCTTCATCACGTCTAATACTTCCGTTACAAACTCTATCCGTTTAGCGTAGATCCTGATATAGTATTCTATCATAGTATCCTCGAGTGGTTTGCTGTAAAGGAAAATCCAACATTTTAACACGAGTGTTTTTGATACTGTGATCGCAAGAGCAATTGGACATAATCTTAAATCATGTACAGAGCGTCCTGGACTTCGCAATGTTGAAAAACAATGCGAACGGTCAGAGGTTCGCAAAGTGTTTATGAATGACGACTGATACTTTTGTCATGCCGTAATGAACAAATTTGAATCAATAATTTAATCGACTTTAAACGTTTTTCACTTAAAAACTATTAATCTTGACGGGTTGGTTTATAGATTTTTTTATCATAAAATGAAAACTTCACTGTCAATTGTTGCCGCGCGAAATCTGGGACGCTCTCTATAGCACAAATAATACGTGTTACATCGCATAAATGAAAATATCACCTTGGCAGAGATTCCAGCTTCTTCATCATGGTAATTAGAGAATGTATGTACTGAAACAAGAAATTTACACGTTGAGTGTTGGTACAATCAAAACTCTTACATCAACTACGTATAAAAATTATATAGAAATAATTGGCGTATTTAGCAACTCCTGCAACACGAACGTATTTGATACTGTGATTGTAATAACAATCGGATAGAATCTTAAATGATGACAGAGCGCCCTGGACTTTACAACGTTGAAAAACGATACGTATCGAACGGTCAAAGGTTCGCAAAATGCTTATGAATGACGACTGATACTCTGCAACGAGCAGAGTGCTTAATTCCCACGTGGTTCTCTCAAGAAATGCAGTTGCAAAAGTAAAATTTCACACAGGTGTACGCACGTAAACAAACACTTCGTAATAAACACGTAAATAAATAATATAATTCTGTAATTATATTTGACGTGGTCTCGATATTACGCTTCGAGCAATTAACGTAAAAATAAAAAAAAAGATTCCGCTTAACAAAACGCTAAGCTTCGACGCGTGTCAAATGGAAAGCTGCGACGCGGGGGAAAACGCGGAGATTAGGAACGGCGTCTCACGCACCTTCCCCAGCTTCCAGTCTTTGTACGGATCATCCTTCGCTATCAGCTCGCAGCGCCTCAGAAGTCGCTCGATGTTGATCTCCAGCCTGGTCTTTTTAGTCATCTGTCAAATGCGTGGCGGTCAAAAAAGCGAGAGGGAAAGAGAGAGCCTCGTGTAACGTGTACGGGCATGTCACACCCGTTCGACGTGTCGTGCGCTCGATCACGTGCGCAGCGCGATTGCCCGAGGTGCGGACGAGAATGACTTGTGATCTGCGACGATGGCGATTTAGAACGATGCGACTTGAGCAGAATCGGGGACGAATATCTCCGTCGTCCCGGAAGCGTCGAGACTCAAAGAGGCTCGAGAGAAACTCGCGCTTTGAAAACTCGCGCCGATTCTCATATACGAATCGCGGGAAATATCTCGGGCTCGATCTTTGAATTTATTCGAGGGAGAAACGTATGCGAAAATTCTGCTCTCACAGAAAAGTTGCAAGGGGTGCGTTCTTTTAGGCATCGGATTTGGCAACCGCTGCGCATCGGATTTGCCGGCTGACGGAAATCTGCGGTGCAGTCGACTGCGCAGTCGGGCTAAAAGAATGAATTACTGCAAAAACTGCTGTATCCGATGCCTAAAAGAACGCACGGAAGTTGATCGGCTACTCGCGTGGCTTTAACCAATAGACTTTCGACTTTTCTGTCAGGCAGCGTTTTCGTATACGTTTCTTCTTCGAATAAATTCAAGAATCGGGCGGCAAATCGTGTGGATTCAGCGATCACACGATTCGCTGTGTGCTTAGAGACTAGTGCTGCCGCGGTTGGTGAAATATCGCATATTTTACTGGAATAGTTGTCAATGATTGCTAATATTCAAGTTACATAAACTGTCATGAGGTATCTTGATAGTTTTAGGTCTCTTTATAATTTCGATGAAAAAATTTTCGTTATATAACAAAACATTTGCTATAGATTTTTCATTATATGTGTAGGTTAACTTCTCTAACTTTTGCAATGAGCCTTATCATACGAACGGGATTTGTACCCATTACTCATGACATTAAATTTAATCCAAGTGCAATACCGAAAGGAAAAGCCTTAGCAATATCGCATGTAGTTCGCGTTGAAGAATTGCGCAGTGAAAATATAAGTCATTTAATAAGATGCAGTGTGATACCGCAAACGTCTGTCAATGCTACTCCGTACAAGGTACAATTACATGTATAAAGTATTAAATTAAATTTAAGTAAAATCCCAAACAACGTTATGTCGTCTTAAAAACATATCTTAAATCTGTGAAATACATTTTTATATGAACCTAGATAGCACCGAATGTTCCATGAATGTTTGTATATGATTCGAATGTTCTCTCTCAGGAATATTCGCATGGATGTGCCGTGAATGTTCTTCGTTTCTAGAATGTTCTTCGTAGCCGGACACCTAAAAGAAGGGCAGCGGCGCACACGTACACGCACATTCTCTGTATTCATACGCCACCATTGCAGATTTCAGCGTCTAACGCTAAAAATGGCTGGCTAGTGGCACGTGGTGGCACGTCGATAAACGCCGTAGAGGTTAAGGTATACACTATTAACATAGAAAATTTATACGTAATCATATTCCGTACAGATATTATTATTTTTGGTAATATTTATTATATAATTCCATGGTTATTTATGGGTATTATATAAACCATGGTTACGTTCTAATATGCGCCAATTGTGGAATTACATATAATAAATATTACCAAAAATAATAATATCTGTACGGAATATGATTACGTATAAATTTTTTATGTTAATAGTGTATACCTTAACCTCTACGGCGTTTATCGACGTGCCACCACGTGCCACTAGCCAGCCATTTTTAGCGTTAGACGCTGAAATCTGCAATGGTGGCGTATGAATACAGAGAATGTGCGTGTGCGTGTGTGCCGCTGCCCTTCTTTTAGGTAGTCCGGCTACGAAGAACATTCTAGAAACGAAGACATTCACGGCACATCCATGCGAATATTCCTGAGAGAGAACATTCGAATCATATACAAACATTCATGGAACATTCGGTGCTATCTGGGTATGAACGAACTGAATAAAAGAGTCTTCAAGCCTAATACACAATAAGAAGAAGTTAAAAGTTTAGTGATAAAACATGTGAAACTATATCTTCGTTAAATACTTACGGAGTTATGGGGCTTGAAATTTACGGTATCACCAGTATTACCATTACGCGTGACGTGCCACGTGGCGGTTGCAACGGTTGGCTTTACAACTTCAAAGTGGTACACCTCATGTAATTACAATACTGATAATACTGTAACTTTCGAACTTCACGATTGCATTTATTATTATTATTATTACTACTGGATAAACTTTCACACAACGCTAAAATACATTAATTGCGACTCATAACGAACTGTTGTACGGCGTCTGAATGGTAACATTCAGTGTACAAATTCAATATATGACGCTTTAAGGTGGTACTTAACTAAGAAATAAATATTTACCTTGCTTTAATAATTATTTTTACATACAACTCACCTCGGTTATAAATTATAGGTAGGTATAGTAAAGACCTTGTTGAAGAGTACAGTGTTATACTCCACGCAGCTCGACTACTAGCATGCTAATGGTAGGATTGGTAGGTACATGGTACAAGAGCGCGTGGGAAGGTAGAGATTTGTACTTAGAGAAAATTAAGGTAGAGGGTAGAGTCCCTGTAGTAAGTCCCAGTCTACAATAGATGATTTAAGCCCTAAGCTTTAAGAAATTGGCCAATCACGGTCAAGTATGAGTAGAATGCGCGACTGTGATTAGTCAATTTCTTAAGGCTTAGGGCTTAAATCTCTATTGTAGACTGGGACTAAGTCCCAGTCTACAATAGATGATTTAAGCCCTAAGCTTTAAGAAATTGGCCAATCACGGTCAAGTATGAGTAGAATGCGCGACTGTGATTAGTCAATTTCTTAAGA